CGAATGAATGAGTATGATTGTAAAAGCTAACGCTACATCAATCTTTGAATAAAACCTACCTTCAACATTGCGGCCATGAGCTTACCCCAGCCAGCGAATGTTCCCCGGAAACCGTCCACCGATGTGTGAACAATCGAAAATTCGCAATTGAAACTAACAATAAATGTGCAAAACGTGGAAAGAAATGTGTGCAAACCACGGCCAAACCGAACGGGTCAAATTGTCCAAAATGTTTCATCCATAAATTCAAAAAATGCGACTAGTAATTTACTTAAACAGCTTCAAAGAAAATTACATTCGACGAAACAAAAAAAAAACGATTACGTTAAAATTTTTCATACATAAAGCTAAGCCAAACTTTTTGAGCTTTTTAAAAAGGGTAAAAACCAAACCTGACGGTTCACAATGTACTATGTGTTCCCTCCACAAGTACGAACATTGCGCTTAGTAATTCGCTCCTAGATAATTTTGGTAGAAAACAATTCCAATCAACGACACACTTGCACTGCGTTCTGGCAGGGAAATAAAACAAATTTGTGTCGAAATTAAACATTGCGTGCCAGTATCTCCTTCGAATTGATTTCTTACAATTCCAAAAAAAAAATTATTTCTAGTTGCCAGTGTTTTAAATAATTTAACTCTTCGTTTGCCATTTGCACGAGATTTTAAGTATTTCACATAATGGTTAAGCAGAACCTTAATAATAATTGTTTTTAATATAGTGAGAAAGTTTGACAGCACCGATGACGGGCTGAGGTAGGATTTTTGACAACTAAACTTAACATTTTAACCTGTGCCAAATTTTGAGCTAGTATATGGCTATATTTGCATATTTCATTATTTCATAGAGGATGTTATGGGCGGATCAATTTGTTCATAACCTGGTGAAATTAAGTTGCTAAATTTGTTTTAGCATGTTATTTAAATTTGCAATAAAACACCAATTCAAAATACGAGAACAATATTATTACACTGCAGGTGAAGCTGTAAATTGTGATTTTTATAACGTGCAGAAAAGTCCGAAAAAATATAAAATCTTGGGAATATTATGCAAATTTGTGATTTGTTTTGATGGAAACTCATTACCTTGTCGAAATATGTACCTGTTTTGATTAAATTACGAACTTTACAAACAAGATGTAAATGAAAAATTGTGGCTAACCCCAGTCGGCATTAGTTAAGACCGAGCACATTTAAAATTGAAAGATAAGCTGTTTTTTTATTTCCAAGCAAGCACATGTTACACATTTACATACATACACGGAAACAATACAAAACTCATAAATACATATACATATATTTACACACATACGATTAATTATTCTTTATTAAATATTCGCACGTGCTAAGCAATGCATGCATTTTGTTTCTATATAAATACCTTTAAAAATCCATTTTTTGTAACAAATATATGCCTACATATGTCAAACAAATACGATAAATGGCAACTACACATTTCAAAACTTGGCAACAGAGTTATTGAAATTTAATAATTAAGCAAGAGTGGAAGCTTGTAAAATACACATGCATTTTGAGATGATTTAAAGAAATTATTTTTTGTAGAGACGGTATTTCATATTTAATAAGAAACACAATATTTGTCCCATTTTAAGCTAACATATCGTCCAAGTAGGCAATCTAAAATTTCTGAAACCTTATGATCTGGGGAATTAATAGTAAGAGTACCAAAGGCAAATAATTTCAACGGATCATGCTTTTGTTAAATTTTGTGGCGAGAATTATTAAAAGTTTTCGTTGGATTTTTCGTAGCTTGTTAATCACCTTTAACAATATTTAAGATTTTGAACCAATAAGCATACAAAAAGCGATATTTACATGCAAGATATACGTTTTTAAATATATAAGATGTCTTACCACATAAAATTGTTTCTAGCAATTTAAGCTCGTGTGCGAAAGATAAATATTTCAATAAAATCAAAGTAAGGATGAGAATTAATGTATTGAGATGCTAATTTCATGCGAAAGGAGATGAATTGGATTCATTGTGATTGGTGTTGCTGAATAGATATGTGAATGTGGACGAAAAGCAAGAAAGATTTTAACTAATTTAGCCAGTATGAGAAAACTACTTTTTGACTACGATCAATTACTTTTTGACTACTTTCAACTACTTTGTGACTACTTTCAACTATCTACTTTCTGACTACTTTCATCTACTTTGTGACTACTTTCAACTATCTACTTTTTGACTACTTTTAAGTACTTTTTGATTACTTTCAACTATCTACTTTTTGACTACTTGCAACTACTTTTTGACTACTTTCAACTACTGTTTGACTACGTTCATCTACTCTTTGACTACTTTCAACTATCTACTTTTTGACTACTTTCAACTACTTTTTGACTACTTTCAACTACTGTTTGTTACGTTCATCTACTCTTTGACTACTTTCAACTACTTCTTGACTACTTTCTCTTCTTATTACTTTTTGAAACGACCTTTTAACTACATTCAATCACTTTTCATTAACATGCCTTCGGCCACTTTACAACTACTTTTTGACTCTTGTCCACTAGTTTTCAACCATTTTCAGCTTCCTTTTACCATATTTTCAATATAATCTGTGAACAAACACTTTTTATATAAATTCTGCTTCTCACTGGCATTTTGTATTGACGCAATTTATGCGACGCATATCTTTCGCGCATTTGTGCATATTTTTCCACGACCACAATAAGTTCTTGGTTTTATAAATATACGCTATGATTTGAATTCTCAATTGGGTTTCCATTTGATAGCTGCATATTTACATAAAGCTTCGTAATTGCATATATATAAACATATGTATGTGTCAAATCCGCATGTATGAATTCTTTGTATGTACGCATTTTTGTATGCAAGTATTCTTTAGTTTGAGTGGGTTGGGGATGCGGATAAAAAGTGGGTGCAAGCGGGAGCATCAGAAGAAGAGGGGCGCGTTGGCCTTGTAGTGAAGATTTTTAGTGTGTAAGTAGCAGTCGAGTCGAGAGCACCCATTTTTAGAAAGTAAAGTGGGCTCTCAATTTTGTTTAATAATTATTAGTAAATCTAAATAATTAATGTTCGTGTTCAAATGAATTAAAGTGTGATTATTAATAAATCTGTTGCTAAAGATAAAAGTCCCTAGTTTGAGTTAAAGGGTTTATTTTAAAGTCAGCAGATTCGAACAAAAGTTAGTTATCTTTCCTCTCGTGATTCGACCTGTTCCACGGCACAGTCAAAATACGGCGATCTCTTGTTGACGGGTAGTTGACACTGGATGATCCCAGTGAGTGAAGCGTCGCGATCTCACAGTATGTGTGAAGACGCATGTTATTTATCCAAGTCTACATATTGCTAAAATTAGGACGGATTGAGATGCAAATCGATTTTGGTCAATAATGTTGTGCAATATGTAGTTAAACTTAGGCAGACCTAAACTTATCGTATTTGTGCGTGTGAAAGTTCAAATGTAACGTTATCTATAAATATATTCAAATACATATTTCACTATTTAGTAATCTACCAATTACCTAAATTAATATGTAATTATGTAAAAGGTATGTTCGCACAATCTCTTCACTCAATACAGTTCGTTCTCAGTTGACTTGGAAACGAAAAATCGACCTGGTTCTTTTTTACGTTTTGCACTAATTAACCTATATGTATATCCATATTTAAAAGCAATGATTTCATGTCCTAGGATTTGGACCGCTGGCGTATGTACGATACAAATAAGCCGACATTGCGTCACATCCTACATATGCATGTCGCAACTGAAGAACAATTAGGCATTGTATTATTGTGTATTATTGTGCATATTGCCACATATATATGTGGCAATATGCACAATAATATGCACACTGGTCCGGATTCCTTTATTTGTTTGCCAAAACCTCTAGCTCTCGAACCATTTAATTTTTTCGAATTCTGCCTCCGGGGATCGAGATATGAAGTTCCAAGGGGTATAAGCTGTGCAACTCTCATTGATCATTGATCACCCCCAAAGGGGAGTGGTCACAGGTGAATATTTATTTTCTTGCATTACCCCATCAAGTGGGGTGTCATTTGAAAGGTCTAATCAAGCTCTAAACAACTCCGACCATTATTGGGACATTATCGGCACACCCACAGCCAGGGGGTGTGGTCAAAATACAAATTTGAAAGTTTTGTTTTGATAATTCTGAGGATGTATTTTCATAAAATGACAATATTATATAGTCTTATGAAGTATTTCTACCCTCTAACTTGATTAACAAAGAAAATATGACCAAAATTATAAATTTAGTTATGCCTGCTCAGGGGTCACCAATTCATAAAATCCCCCCGCTCGTAACAAATTTTTTAGAGGGGTTTGGTTTACCATATTTCTTTCCCCCAGGACTTGGCAAGATATTTCGAGGCGATTGTGTTAGTTGGAACACTCGAAAATTTCATACGTGACAATGATGGAACACTCCAGATATTTTGCCTATGGCAATTTGCAATTACATAAATTCAAATCTCTTTGCCTATTTATAATGGTGGCAGCTGGTGGCAGCAGTTTTGGTAGATTAGATATGGGGGATTAATAATACATTAACGGTTCCTCAGAAAAGCACAGGAATAGACAGGATTTTCAACTTGAAGTTTTCCCCATTTAACCCAATGTTATCAGCCAAGTTTGAGCATACGCCACGCCTTCACCGGTGGAACAATCCTAATGAAACTTTCCTAATGAAGTTGAACATCTATGTCAAAGGTACTGAAGGGAGTACTTCGTTTTCGAATCGGCGAGAATAGGTTTTGGCCAATAAATTCAGTATTCCGGACCAACGTGGCATATGTACAAAGCTTTTTGGTGATAAAATTGCCCATAATGTTAAATATGCAGCCCGGGACCATGCACAAATTTTGTGATATTGCAGTTTGACTAAAATTGGTACTGTTTCTCATGGAATTGGCTCCCATAGGCTATTCGAACATTGTTATTCTAAGCAATGACATCTGACCTTGTTTGTCGAATTGTACGCAGCGTAGCTCAGACGATAAATCCTGGCAGGTTTTCCAATGGATGAATGGGTGGTAATGGATTTCCAGGGGTCCCAACAATAATGATGGGCTGCTCAGGAATTTCCTGGGGTTCCAGTGGCTCGACATCAATGGTCTCTTGGTCAATAACTTCTTGGGGGCCGACTGCCTGGATATCAATTACTGGTAGCTCAATCATTTCTTGGGGAAGCGGAGCTAGCCATGGCAAACGTGGAATATAGCTAGCCCAATCAACTGCAAATTTTAACATTGCAGTTATTATTATTTTTTGTTTTGTACTACCGAGAATGAAGTGCAATTTATGACTCACTTTCCATACGACTCATTCGCGTCCTTATTTTGTGCTGAGCCCAAATTAAAGCCATAATTACGACAATTGCTTCAATTATGTCCAGTAAGGTGAGGCCAGTGATCATGGAAATCGTTCCACCTACGAGACCTGGTTCGACATTCATGCATGTCAATCACTACAGTAAAATGCGCATGTTTAAAGATAACTGGCATTTACCAACTTCCTCAAAAATGCTGTATCTTGCACTTCTTCTTGACGCTTGCACGGAGTCCATTTCAAAGTAGACGTAGACGATGGAGAAAACGTCAGTATCACTAAATAAGATTACATAAATAAATTAGGTTAAAACCTAGTAAACTTAAATTTAACATGAACCGTTACCTCAATTCCTTGGAATATTGTTTCCTATACTCTTCCATGTGTTTTGCCGTCAATGGGCTAAAAGCTGTGGTCGTCGTGTACTTGGTCTGCCTACAGTTCGGTCGACATTTTTCACACGAGGCTCGCATTCCTCTGTCGTACATCTCCTCTGAAAGTTATTTTCAATTATTTGGTTTATGTAAAAAAGAATTGATAAGGCAGACAAGAAATAGGTTACAATTGTGTTGGCCAGTATGGAGTGTGCAAGTGCAAATTATTGCATTTGGATTTAGTAAGCCTAAAAGGTATACCAAATATATCATGGGATTAATAATTTTGCGTGTAACTAACTTTCTGTTCCAATTGAACAATTCAGGCTTTGATAGGAACCACATAAGGGTCGGCCCGGTTTACCTTTGGTCATATGAAACACATTTAAACTTTCGTAAACCAAAATCGGGCTTAAATAGTTAACCTGGAGCGACGAAACTTGTACACTTGCATTTTTGAGCGACTTGATCTGCAATACATTCATGGAAACAATTTTTCTTTGTGTACTTCCTGTAATATTGCAGTTCGGCGGCCCCATTATCATCGCTAAAATAACACTGGCGCTTCTCCTTTATCAATAAGGACAAAAAGAATATGAATTCATACAAGCCACTATTGGTGATCCTTAGATTTACACAATTTCGTCAAACCAACCTTTTCCATTTCTTTAATGTCGTCATCAGCCAGGAGGACCAAAGGATTGACGGAAATTAAAACTTCGTGTCCAAAAGGCATAGATTTTCCGAACCGCTTAATTTGGGGCTCGTCGGAAGGATGATTTACAGTGAACTTTCACATTGAAACATTTATAATACCTTAAATTTGTATGACTACACTGTCGTATAATGCATACCATAAATCCTGTTCCTTCACCATGGACGCATGCTTTATTAACTGGGTTTTCTTTTATGATAAAAGATAAACCTGACGTCTTTCCCGGAGATGTTTGTCGCCATGGGGTTCGAATTCGTCCATTAATTTTTGGTTGTTCTTGTCCAATACTCTTTTCTCCTCCAATATCTTGATCCAAGTTGGCGATCGCCCATGCAGCAGCTTCTTCTGGGCTATACTCTCCTTCGGTCAGGGAAGTCTGAATTGATGAATCTCTGCACAGAACACTTTCATTTAGAAAAATACACCTTGAACTTCAAGTTTTAGAGTGTGTATCAAGTGAACACCCGCTTAACTTACTGATTAGAATAAATGGTCGAAAGATTAATTACTAATGCAGCTTTGAATAAAAACTTGAGCTTGAAATTTTTTGTTTCGTTTTTGCCTTACATGTTTCACAAATTAAATAGAAAAATGGGGAGAATCAGTTCAGCACCCTTCCGTATTTACAATTAAGTTAAATCGAACTAAAACAGTTAAATAATTTTACTCACTTTCTCGTCAGTTGCCCTGGGATGCCGTTGAACATGCATGTATTACCCCATTCTGAGAAACGCTTCTTAAACAATAATCTGCAATCGATTGGTTCTTCATTGAGAAAGCATCCGATGATGACATCAGAACAATCATATGTCGCCTGGAAATAAAAAGCAAATACGATAAGAATCATTTCACCTAGTTTCAACCGTTGCCATGGATCCCTACATGCATATGGTATATGTCTATTACCCCTTGTAGAAACGGAATAATTCGCTCCATCATAGCCTCAGTTGTTAGGTTATCGTACAGATAAGTTTTTTCCGTGATTATCATATATTTCGTATTGAAGTTTTCAAGATTCGTTACGTTGTTCAATCCTGCATGGGTGGTCTTCAGGGAACACATTTGGTCAATAATTTCTAAAACGCCCACAGCATCGTCAATAGACCATATCGATTCATTTCCAGTTACTATTTCTTGTCCACTGTAAATTGCTCCATAATTGCTACAGACACAAAGCTTGGTATACAAATTCACACTTTACCTATCCTTCTTAATTTAAAAAGAAATAATTTTCGGGCAGTGAAAGTAATAAAATCATTTATAAACGTTGCTAAATTGAATCCTGTATTTTCGGAATAGAAACAACAACTGAGCCACGGCAAACTGCGGCCAACCTGTTTAACGGTTTATAAAAAGTTTCTAGACCCATTCTCTAAACTTTATTAGCATATTATTTGATCCTGGTGGTTGGGGTTGGTTTCCAAGATTTTGGGCAAGCCACACCCCCTGGTGGGGGTGGATGACCTTCCGGTTGATCTAGACTACTGAATTGCCATTAGGTCATTCAAAACGCCCGGTGCCAACTGGCAACGCTCGCCAAATGGGCGTTTTAGGTCATTTTTAAGGTTTTGTAGCTTCAAAACCCGAACCGATAAACCTTAAGGGTTTGAGGAGGCTTGAAGTGCACATCCTCGGGACTCAATTTTATTTGAAACCTAAGAGGACCGTCTCCCGGTTTCAGTGCTACGAAGCTGTAAACTATGGGGACCTTGCGTTTCCTAAAATAAGGCCAACTTCTCATTTAATAAAATTCAATTCTACTTTTGGGGTCATCGGACCACACTCAACTGGCGCCCGGGGGCGTGGTCGGGGTAACTACAGTGAAATTAAGTATCCCCGAGCGGTGGACTTGGTTCCAGTGAAATCGATGGCTGGGGTGTAATGAGATAATGTAAAATCGCTGGTTGGGGTGAAATTTGCATTTATAACTGTTTAATTGTGTATGTATGTAATACATATATAAATTTACGCTTACCTAATTGAGTCATGTATTCCAGATCTTTTTAACCCAGACGACCCACTAACTGTGAACCCTGGGAAGTCAATGTCCACAATTTCCACTTCCTCTGTTTCTGTCGACACCACGAGTGGATGCCCCATTGTTCTCTTAACGCCTTCCTTAATAATGATGTATATGATGACGCAAGAAAGCAAAACCACAAAGAACCAAAAAGCCCTGAAACAAAGGAAACGAGTCATTAATTTGATTAATTTCTGTTATAAAAACCCTTCGTGCATACAAACAATACCACACATTGGATTTGTCGTCCGCCTTGGCTGAAACTTATAAATTAACTTCAGCTCAGGAAAATTGAGTATAGTGCACGCTGAGACTATTTTTATTTTTAAAGAATAACATTTGGTGCGGACCGACGGAAACTTAAGCGCGTTACGGATGTCATAATTATCTGAAAAGTTACGGTTTTAAAGCGGAAGCCGTGCTTTGTGGTAGCTTTTCTCACTTCTCTCGGTTTAACTGTCCTACACAGGGTAAGGAACTTTCCCCAAGTCATCCTGCTGACCGGCAGACCGATGGACAAATTCTTTGTAGAAACTGACCTAAAGCTACTTATGATGGAGGTGTCCAAGCGTATGCTCACAGATTTGGACAAACTAATACCAATCGACAACAATTGCAAAAAGCGGAGAAAATGTACCCCCAATGCTGGCAAATGTTTCATTCTCCAAAATTGCCGGATATTTTTCCTGCTTTGGATGCAAATATCTCCGATAAACTGCGCATTGGCAGATAGTTCAATTTGCAAATTGCATACTAATTATATTTGTGATCGATTGGCACTACTTTGACCGAAACCTGTGAGCATGCGTTTGGAGATCCCCATTTTTAGTAATTTGGGTTGTACATTGTTGGCTTCCTAATTGCTAAAATTTATTTACGCACACATTATAATCTTTCCAATGAAGTAATTTTTAAAGTCAACATGCCTGAATTACATGCTTTGTAAGTTCATGAATTATAATTATTTACAGATATATGTATTACATATTCAGGTGACCCAAATTTAAGCAATATGAAGACCCTTGCAACTATCCTCATCGCCTGCATTATTATTTCTGTCGCCTGTCGTGAGGAAACAGTTGAGGCACCTGATATGGCGTGGGAGGACAAGGTCCGGGAAGGAGAATCAGTGGGAAAATGCATGTGCCCATCAACTGTTAATACTACTTTGACATATTTCCAACATTGCGGCCATGAGCTTACCCCAACCAGCGAATGTGCCCCGGAAACCGTCTACCGATGTGTGAACAATCGAAAATTCGCAATTGAAACTAGCAATAAATGTGCAAAACGTGGAAAGAAATGTGTGCAAATCACGGCCAAACCGAACGGGTCAGATTGTCCAAAATGTTTCATTCATAAATTCAAAAAATGCGAGTAATAATTTACCTAAACAGCTTCAAATAAAATTAAGTACATTCGACGAAACAAAAAAAAAACGATTATGTTAAAATTTTGCATACATAAAGCTAAAAAAACTAAATTTAGACAGAAATAAGACGTGTATTAAAATACTTGAGAGCTTTTTAAGTTGGTTAAAAACGTAAAAAAAATATATGTACTCGAAGATTTGTATTTTACCAATTCACAATTAAAAGCTACGATTTTGACAAGTAATTCCAATCACAGAATTTTAGTAATCGTTAGTAAGTATGTCTGCTTAAATTTGTAAATTTAATAAAAAATTTATAAATTATTGACTCCTAATTCAATAAATTGGTGATTAATTAATGAATAATTTTTTGAATTTTTTTAATTAACCCCTATAAACAAACTCCCCTTTGAATATGTAAATATTTATTCTTTTCATTCATATTCGCGAAGAGTGAATGAACGGTTTTATTAGTTTTAATTTTTCACCGTAAGCCTGAGAGCTTGAGAAGTGCGTGTCATATTTCTAAGACCCATTCGACATAAGCAATTTAATAACGGAACGTATGTATGCATGTAAGTGCGGCCAAGTTAAAACTTTTAAAAAAGACTTCGGCCTCATCTCCGATTTGTTATTTTACATCCAAAGCTGCTCCAAACTTTATCTAGTTTTCATTTGGAAGCCTGTCATCACGATTTCTGACTGAAGTTTTTATTATTTTTAGATTTCACACTCATAATGAAAGTCTTTTACGTGTAAACTTCAGATCTGCGTGGCACCAATTTTATTTTGTTCACCACAAAAAATTAGCACACTCATATTTTTGCATTTTTCATAATGCGCTAATTTAAGCGCGAGGCGTGAATTTTAAACTGTTTTCCAGCCATACCCTCAGCTTTACCGTGGTGGAAAATATTTTGAAAACTTGTGGAGAATATGAAATTCTGCATTTGTTTGTATTTTAATAGATTTTTATGAATTGCTATGCTTTTATGCAACATGCATGAATAAAAATAATTTTCTGCACGAAAAGAAGGCAGCTATAAAATTAGTTGTCAATTAAAAGATAAACTTAAAATTAACTGCCAAACAATAAAAGATTGTTCCATGCTTCACAATTTCAATTCAACTAATTTTGAAACTGATGTGTCAACAACTTAAAAAATTAGATGATCGAAAAAAAATTCAAGATTCTCTCTCTGGCGCAAATATTCCATTACGCATTTCTTAATGATGACATTTCCTGTTTTGCATAAAACAAGCGTCAAAATTCCACCGAAATGAAAATCCTTGCCAAATTTCCCTTGTCAATTTCAAAACTTAGCTACTTCCTTGTGAAGACTCTCTTATTAAAATATGTTCCCTCTCTGAATTTTTATAGCCAAGTTATGCCAGTGATTAGCGTGATCATTCTATAATCAAAGCTAGAAATTTCAACACCCAAAATACAATTTGCAAAATATTATTCACCTTAGCAACGGGTGTATTCCTGGTTTCACAGATTGTCTAAATCCCGGCAGTTTTTCCAAAACTTGCACCCATCCAGAATCTGGGGATGGTTGCCATGACATCAAACGTGTCCAGCGTCTCCGAACACTTACATATTGTTCCTGCCACACATATCTGAGCATTCTATAAAAGCCATGATGAGGAGACGTGACCATTCGTTGCCTGACCTCTTCGTCCGGACCATGGCGTGGGATCGGCTGCATTTCAATCTCCATGGCAACGCAAAGCGTTAAAACGGCAAAATGGTTTCTCACTCACATTATTCAATGTCTTATAATGTCAGCCGGTAAATTATGCTCTTATCTGTGAAAGTCGAATTATTTTAGTGTCCAAATATAAATTTTGGCATTAAATATTTCTCTCAAAAGTTCAAAGTAACTTCGCAAATTGGGTTTTTGACTTTCTCAAATTTCAAGGCACGCCATTTAAGTCTGTTTCGCTTTTATAATTTGGACGTCACGACACAAAAAATTGGAGGATGGATTATGAAAATTTGGACGATGGATGATGAAAATTTGGAAGAGGGATGATGAAAATTTGGACGATAGACGATGAAAATTTGGACGATGGATGATGAAAATTTGGACGATGGATTTTAAAAGATGTTCCACAATTTCCTGAATAAGTGACAAGTATGCAAATGTTGCAAAATGGACGCAGAAAGTGATGCAAATAAGTGCAGTGGGCATAGAAACCAAGGTGTGGTTGTGTGTGACGCATTGAACTCCTGACCAAACATCCACGTAAGATAAGAACAAAGAAAAAATTAAAAGAATGCTTTTATACTTGTTTTTTAACATCCGAATACCGACGATCCCAGTGTAGGGTAGTTTACAGGATGAAGCTTCCCTGTAAGGTGATATGAAACGGGTCGACCGAGGAGCTAATTACAGGTGTACGCTGGATGTGTCACAGCAATGTATTGATGCCCATTGTCCACCTCGGGAGCCTTTCTTCATGCCAAATGCCAAACAAATGCATGTACGCTAAAGATGAGTATGCAGCCTTTAAACTTACGTTTACTTCTTATTTATGAAATTGTGCCACCAATGATTATTTAGATTTTTAAATACATGCATATCCAGAAATATTAATAAGATAAATTAACAATCATCAAATGTTTCATGGAACGTAATTAAATCCAGATGTCTACGTACACACACAATATGTAATTTCTTCAGATTTTTATTGTAAATGTACAATTTTTGTATACTTTTGATTTTTACGCAATTCGATGTTTTCGTGGAGTTTAATAATAAGTCTTTATTGTCAAGGGGTAACAACTTGATAACATGCTGATTTCCAACCATTGACATTAATTTTGACTAATTAAAACTAATTTTCATGTGCGCTGCAAAGATAAATAGAAATTGTTGGGAAAAGTGTAAATTAAAAAAAAGTTTGCTCATGTTATTCATCCCATATAGTTACTTTACCATACTCGACATCAAATTCGCCTTTTTGGAAATGTCAATTTTTTTTAGTCCATCAACTTAAAAATATATCAAGAAGCTATCTACGTGGTCAAGAAAAATTAACCCATGATGAAAATTTCAATAAAGCAAAAATTTCGATTGAATATTATGATAAACAAGTAAATATACATCATCATATTGACTGTGAATTTAAATACATACATAAAACATGACTTAAGAAAAACGGAAAATCCTTCATATTATTTCATTCCTACCTTTGCATTCACTCATACTGAAATACTCTACTACCACGAATGGTTTACGAGCTATCATTTTATGAAATTTGATGTTTCCCGCCCACGCGTACTCGAAATCTCGCGTTGCCCCGATCTCATTGCTGGCAATCTCCGGACAAAGTACGGGCCACTAATCGCCAATGGCCCAACGATAGGTCGGCATCGTGATCCAGTCAGGCTCCAGTGGCGGATCGTAAACCTGACATTTCCTTTTGATATCTACATCAAACACGGTTTGAGGTTGCACATGGTCCAGAACTTCCAACTCAGCGCAGAAATGAGGCGGTCCATCAGAAAAGTTGGTGGGGGTTCCGGAGCCGATGAGAATGTCACAATTGACCACGACCGCCTCCACTTCCCAGAGGACGAGGGACGTCGGATTGTACAGAACATCCCAGGCCTGGAACATTTTGCACACAGTGTTTGGCGGTGGGATTAAGGATGCGATGGTGGCGGTGGGAAGAAGGCGGGTAAAATCGAGGATCGAC